CTTGAGTGTTATTAAATCGCCTACATGTAACGTGCATGATAACCAGGAAAACTAGCAGCCTGTGTGTGCCTGGTCAGGTTCAGATAAGTTGTCAGAACGAACATTTTTGTTAATGACCAGGCATAATGGCCAAACCATTGGGATTATTCCCTATTTTTCAAACATGATAGGTGATCTTTCATTTCTGTCTGGAGAGCTAGACACTGACTTGTGTTAACGTAATGTCTGAAAGACTATCTAATAGCACGTGCCCTTTAACACTGAAGCAGCATGACCTATAGTTAATGTGTGCTGGGAGTTAGAACTCTGAGTTTGCTTCTGGTTCTGCTGTGGACATGCTCTGACCTCAAGCAATTTACATAGGATGCAGCTTTTAAAATGCCAAGGGCAGTTAATGCCCAAATCCAAATAGAGTTGTGCACCATTCCCTTAGGCATCTTTGAAAATCAGACCTGTAATTTTTTTTAAAACAAAACAAAAGGAAGAGTTTTTTCACACAGTGCACAGTCAACCTGTGGGAACTCCTGCCAGAGGATGGGAAGGCTAAGACTATAACAGGGTTCAAAAAGTAAACAAGGTTAGTTCATGGAGGATAGTCCATCAATGGCTATTAGCCAGGATGGGCAGGGATGATGTCCTAGCCTCTGTGTGCCAGAAGCTGGGATGGGTCACTTGATGATTCCCTGTTCTGTTCATTCCCTCTGGGGCACCTGACATTGGCCACTGTTGGAAGACCGTGTACTGGGCTAGATGGACCTTTGGTCTGACCCACTATGGCCGTTCTTATGTTCTTTGAGCCTGTTTGTCCATCTGTAAGAAGTAGTCAGTATTCCCCTGATAGGGAGATGAGTGGGTTTATTGTGAAGTGCTTTGAAATAGTTTGAAAAGTGCCTTTTTGGTGTAAATTATTACTATGCTACATTCCCATGTAGCATATGTGCAAAAACTATCCCTGCCCTTTAAAAAGCACCCTTAGTTCAGTGTAGTTCAAGGTATCCCTATTTTTCTTCCCAAATGTCTCTGTTTGCTGATGTCAAGCTGGCAGGCGTGTATGAGCTAAAACCCTGGAAATTCAGTCAGAAAAGATTTCTGATTTTGCAGTGTTTTTAAAATTTATTTTTATTTTTAATGATCAAATAATCCTTGTATAACATTTAGTGTTAATCCTTGTAATAAATTTATTGAATAAACATGGCTGGTGATTAGTCAGAGAAGTAGATGTCCTCAGTTTGTCCTCCTTTTAGGGGAAAAGGAAAATGGGGTAAATTTTGTGAAAGACACTCAGTTGATTATAAAAATAAAACCATTCCTAGTTTAAAAAAAAAATCTATTCCAATTTCTGTCTAATGTCTCAGAGTTGAAAACAAAATGAAACTAAGTAATGGGCCATTGTGAGATGGTCATATCTGATTTCTAAGTTTAAATACTATAAACACAAAATGTTTGAGAAAATTAGGGCAAATTAACGAGGATGAATCCTTTTGTGAGCATATCTTGTGGCATCACAGATTGACTAATTTGTCCTAACAAGGCAGGTATACACTTGGCATGTAATGGAACAAAACCAAGAGCACACACATAGAAACGTTGCTGTTAGGCATGAGCGAATAGCTCCTCGTTAAAACCTAGGTCAATTACTGCTTTTATTATCACTTGCAAAATGGAGCCTGGTATTGATAAAAAGCTCTCCATGAAGTGTTTCCTAGCTCACTCAAGCATACTAAATGATTTAATCCTCTGAGTCCTCTGGAGTAGATTATTGTAACTAGTCTAAAAGCTGTTGGTGAACTCAAATCTCGGAAAGAGGTAGCTTTTCCTCGACAGTACTATGATCTCAGCTTTGCGGAATATTGGTTTTGTGCCTTGGACAACTTTATCCAGACAGGGCCTTCTAATCGGCAAAAAGCCCACCTTACTCTGCAGAACCCATTTCCCTGACAATCAAATCTAACCTTCCATATCTATTGATCATAATTAATCTTTCTTTTTTTTTGTTTAAATTCATGTTTTATTCTTCAAGTTTGAAATAAGTTTGCTTAGTTGTTCTTCAGCATGCACTTTCCATGCACAAGGGAACCTCCTCAGCATTTAGGCCTAGAATTATTCTGTTTAAACTGACACTTTCACCTTTCCAAACTCTGCACTGCTCTGCAGCGTCTTTCCACACCCTCAGCATTTGCCTGAAAGAACCAGGAAACCGTGGGACATCTATCCTTAAGGAGAGCCAGTGCTTATATCTTTAGTGGCTCACCTCTTAAAACGAGCACTCTGTCCACTATCTTTTTGTATTTTTGTCTCTGTCTTTCCTCTTCCTAGATCTTTATTGAGTCTAAGTCTATTATCTCTACCTAGGAGTTTCCCCAGCAGATTTCTGACCAGTGTGGACATACTTTTTATGGGTAAAGACCTGTGCTTACAGCACAGCGGACTCAGGTGGCATCTAGTGTAGTTTTATAACACTGCTTTTCTCAGACAAAAATCCCCATCTATGCCAGCCAGGGAAACTATGCTGGCAAAAACTATTTAGATATGGATGTTTCTGGTAGGGCTACAGCCATAATATGGACAGGACCGCTGTCTTTTCATCAAATTTTGCTTTTCTTTATGATAAGCCCTTCTAATGGTTTTCATTGCTTAAAATAGAAAGGATTCCTTTTTCTCAATCCAGCTGTGCAGCTAACGGCCTCTAATAAGCATATGAACCTCTAAATGTGTGCCCCTCTATTTACTTCAGCTAGGTGTTAGCTGTAGTGTCTACTTATGGCCTTTTATTAAGCAAAGTAACAAGAAATATTGCACTGAGCAAAAGGCAGTTGGTTTGAAATAGTCATACTGAGTAATTTAGAGCTTTGTTTTCCAAGCACTTTATGTGTCTAGCCACTCACTAAGCTTCTCAATGCCCCTGTGAAGAAGCTGAATATTATCTTCATTTTCCAGATGGGCAGAAAGGCCCAGAACACCGTTCTTCTCATGTGTGTGGTAGTTTGTTTTTTGTTTTTTTCCCCATCTATTTTACATGACTATCCTCTGCCACATTGCCTGAGTTTGAAGAGGTTTGAAGTTTGCTTACTCCCTTTGTGTCCCAATCTATCAGCCTCTTTCAGAGTAAATGTCTTGTCAGTAGATGATGAGTTGAAGTCCTGCCTAGATGCTGAAATTGGTGTTGTAAGTGGGTTTCAGACATGGATAAAAATTTTGTTTCACTGATGGTGGAACCTAACTGTGGCTTAATAGTGTTCTTGAATTGTGTGTGCTACCCAAGGTTTTAGCATGGTTTAGAGGTTTAAAAATGGTTATGCTCCTGTCTGTGCTTGTAGACAGAATTTTCTAACCAGGATTGGGATAGTAATATTGTAACCAGCTTTCCTAAACATGTTCAAAACATAGTTTGTGTCCATTCTCTGTTCATCAGGTCTCCTGACTCTTGTGTGGAACTAGGGTGGCCAATTTTGGTTGGATGTATTCCTGGAGGTTTTTATCACACATTCTTTAATTCAAGATTAATCTTTAATTCCTGAAACGCCAGAACAATCATGGAGAGTTGGCAACCCTATGTGGGAGTGCTCTTAGAACCCATTCTAAAACGGTCTTTCTAACCCAGTCCTGATCTACTGTTCCAGGGAAAGTACTTTAGCATTTCTCTAGCAAGAATAATGTGTATAAAAATCATCAGGCTATTCTGCTCCTGTTTAGTGTAGGGAGAGCTTGAGAGCCCCTTGAAAGCTCAGAAGGGTTTAATAATCTGTAGACTTTAGTGTGACAATCTCAGCAGGGTTTGCTAGCCTTCTGCACATTATTGGTCCTAAAATCATTCCATGAAGCAAATTAAAAATAGAGTGGAATGCAGTATCCAATGGAAAAGAAGTTCCGCGTGTATGGGCCTGTTCTAACCCTAGTGAAGGCAGTGGGAGTCTTGAGTTGGATTGGTCCACGCTGAGGTATTCCACAACATACTGTCAAATTGGGAAATTCCTTGTGATTTTCACTCAGGTTTTATCTCCTATTTTCCATTTTGGGGTAAAATCAGAGTCCTCATAGGAACTTACATACTTATAATCAGAAAAGAAGCAAACTACTAACTGAGCTATACCAAACAATGTCAGTCTTGTGAATCTCCCCATTTTTAATTGTTTTTCCCCCAGGGAGAAGATAATGTCACTAGAAATCTCTAAAAGGCTCTGAAATCAGTAGGTGTGGGTACTGTCTTGTAATAGGGCTGATAGTGGATTTATTACAATTTCTTTGGGTGGGCAGGAGAGAAGAAAATGCCATCTTCCAGGAAAGAAGGATATAAACTATTTTTGATGTACAGAGGAAGTCTAAACTAACTTCAAAAAATATTTCTCACCATTGAACTTTGTCTGGTGCAGCTCCATCAGTGGGAGGGCTTGTTGTAGACGTGGTTGCCAGCGTTTTAACCACTGTCACCTAGGCCTGCTCTGAGCAGGGTTAGATGACATGATGGTTAAAATGCATGTGGCTGGTCTATAGTAGCTGGAGGACTGCAGCAGTGTGAAATATGGCTACACTAACATTTGTCTTAGCAGAAGTTAAGTGTCTGCATGGCATAGATGTGACTTTTGTTTTTCTTTCCTCCCTTTCAGGTGATTCCTCCCTAAGGAATGGAAGCCCCGAAAGACTTATGATGACATCGATGATATGGTCATCCCAGCGCCATCCAGCAGGTGGTGACTCAGCAGTCAGGTTATTCACCCAGTATAATATAAAGAAGAAACCCATGACGCGGGAGAATACCGAGCGTCTGGCCAACAAAGAGAAGTATGTATTTGTTATGAGTGACAATCTGGTGTGGCATTATGGATTGGGAGGGGCAAATGGAAAGCCTTTCTTCTTTACAAGCTGGGAAGGAATTGCAGCCAACCTTGTTAAATTGTAAACATTCTGGTGGGAATGGCTTTGTGGGACTGTAGTTTTTCAGATTCATAATTGGAGGAGGTTATGCTGGAGCATCCTTTGTATGTTCTGCCAAGTCAGTGTCGGAAGGCCCTGTTTGATGGCTGTCTTTCAATGGATATAGATCTCACTGAGAAAATGGGTATGGGATCCATAGAAGGATTATTAAGCTTGAGGCTCTGGAGCCATTTATCTTGGCACTGTGGCTTGCCAAACTGCAGTCACATGGAGAATGTGCCAGAGGTGGTTTGAGTCAGGATACAATTTCTGATGGTCTTGGAAGTGTGTATGCTAGTGTTTGTGGCATGAGTGCCTCTCTAAGTATGTGTTTCAAGACACTGTGTGGCAATCACTTAATCTGACCAACTCACCAGCTATGTCTCCTTCTAAATTTGCACATCGAGAGCTGTGGAGTATCTTGTTCTTTGGTTCTGGGAACTTTGATAACAGTAGGATCAACATAAAAATATACCTAGTAGAAAAATGTATGTGTAACTTGTATCCTTGATTTGGTTCAATTCCCCACTGCTAACAGGCTCCTTTTGGCAAATTACTTAACCTCTATGCCTTATCTCCATTTTGTAGATAGGAAACTGATATTTCCATACTTCACAATGTGAATATATATTTTTTCAATGTATGAGAGGCTTATGTACACAGAGTTCAATAGCAGTGTTTTGTGTATCTAAGAATTAAAAGCAACATGCATGGCTGGAATAACCTGACATGTCTTTTTTTTTTTTTTTTTTAGTTTAGTCCATTTAAAAAAATTTCTTCAGAAACATTAGCATTGGAAAATGACTATGTAAAAGAGGAGGAGGCAGTTCTGTTTAAGCTACAGGATTAGGAGCAAAAGAACTGGGTTCTGTTCCTAGCTTCTTCATTGACTTACTGTGTGATCATGGCAAATTCACTTCACCCTGTCTGTCACAGAAGCCTTATCTCTGAATGGGGATAATACTTCTATATCGGTGGTCCCGAAACTTTTATGTTGCACCCCCCTTACCCATAATGTAATCTGTCTGGGGACTGTGGCTGGGAGTGGGGCTGGGGGTGGGCCAGGCTACGGAGGAGGGCCAAGGAATGGGGCCTTGGCTATGGGTGAGGCTGAGGTTGGAGCCGGAGGGATCTTGGTGGTGCTCCCTCCCGCCCTCATGGGGGCCTATTGCACATTGGGGGCCAGGTCAGGACCAGGAGCTGAAGTTGGGGCTCCTTAGCCAGGCTGGGGCCAGAGCTGAGTTTTGGGCAGAGCAGGTCGCACGTTCTGCCTGCCCCCAGTGGGGCTGGTCTGCCCTCTACTGTGCCCCTCGAAATGTTGCTTCGGGGCATGCTCCACGATTTGGCGACCACTGTTGTGTGTATCTTCCAGCATCGTAAGGCTTAATTCACTGATGTTTAACAATGTGCTCTGAGATCAGCGGATAGAAGCTGCTATAAAAATGCATTAGCAGTATTGTAAAAAAGCAGAGAGGGAACTAAGACAAAGCTTATGCTCTAATAAATTTGTTAGTCTCTAAGGTGCCACAAGTCCTCCTTTTCTTTTTCGGATACAGACTAACATGGCTGCTACTCTGAAATAAGACAAAGTACACTCCCACCTAGAACCAATAAACCAGTTGCAGCCTAAGTTCCATCTAAGGTGCACGGCCACGCAGCTGCCTATTAAGTGCTGCGCAGGCGCTCAGGGCTGCGGTGGGAGAGAGACCTCCCTGGCCCTGCCACGGTGCCCTTCCCCCAGCCCATCCCATCCTGATGCAGCTGGGGGACAGGTGCCCTTCCTGGCCCTGACCCAGCCCAGAATGAACCTGCCACAGCTGGGGGACAGGTGCCTGACCCAGCCTGGTCCCAAACCTGCTGCATCTATGGAGAGGTGCCTCCCCTCCCCCAGCCTCAGGTGCTGCTGCAGGAAGAGAGAGCTGGGCAACCTCTCTCCCCACTGTAGCCCTAGGAGCCCCACTGCACCCCAAATCCCTCATCACTGGTCCCACCCCAGAGCCTGCACCCCCAGCCGGAGCCGTCTGCCCCAGTCCTGAGCCCCTCCTACACTCCAAACCCCTTGCCTCCACCCTGCCACATTAATTTGTTATGTGCACCAATGTGGGAGGTGATGTGTCACACACCTCACCTCCACATAAGTGCACATGACAAAATTCATTCCGCGCATGTGGTGGAAAATTAGAGGGAACACTAGTTGCAGCCAGTCATTACAGTAGGCAGAATGGAGTGATTAACTAGGTGTCCTGATATAGGTTTCTCTGGGTCTGCTGAGTAGCTCAAAGTATAGAAGACCATAACTGTACTTGCTTAACATCTAAATGTCCTCTTCGAACCCAGGCCTCTATTCTGGTTGTAAGGCATGTCTAGTCTGAGATAGTATTTTAATGGCTCCACAAGCTCTTTTCTGTATGCTGAGCAGGTTGGTATAGCAGTTCACTCTGGGACTGATTATATCACCACGGCACCTTTCCTCCACTACCTACACATGAGAGCCTGTTGCCCAAACCATAGCTTCCAGCTATTCCTATAAGCAACTGCTTGAGCAGCTTATTCGTTTATGTAGTCTCTACTGAACATAAATTTCTAAGGTCTGTGACTTTTCCTAAACTCTTAGCTTTTCCCTTTGCTGGTCAGGTACTGTACTCGTCACTCGGATTTTGAAGACCTGGAACGTAAATACTGGAAGAATCTGACGTCCGTCTCACCACTCTATGGGGCAGATATCAGTGGCTCGCTATATGATGCAGTAAGTGCTATGTACATACTTTTCAGCTGCTTGTTAGATGGACCATGTCACTTAGTGCCTACTGAATAAATAGCAATAATACTTCATCCAACGCAACTAAGAAAATGGCCACCCGTTAGAATGGAAATCTCCAACCAGATGCAGACTCAGGAAAATGGCACACCACCTTCCCTTTTCGGTGGTTTTTTTTCCTTTGGAAAGCAGCCAAAGGGTGAAATAGCTTTCTGCTGAAGTGCTGTGGTGATCCGGAAACACAATACTTCAGGTCTTGTGCTCATAATAAAAATTATTCTCACTATCTTTAAATACAACCTTGAACTGAAAATAACACTCATTTTGGGTAGACAAAGTAATGGAATATAAACTGATAACTACTTTAATACATCTAAAATGTTTGGTTAATCTGGATAGCTTTGATTATGTCAGTATTTTAGAATCTAAGTATCATGGCAAATGAAACATAAAAGCATTATATTAAGTATAAAGCTGGATTTGACCAGTGAAGGGTCTTTCTATCCCTAATATCTGATTTTTACAGATTTTTCACCTATTTGTAAACTACCTAAAACTGTAATTCAATCTGCCACACTTTAATAAAGGGTTACTAATTTTTTCTCTTTAAATAAGGCAAATGAAGATTTATATAAAATATTTTAAAATAACATCTAAACCAGACACAAATCTATAAAATATTTAAGTTATTAAATATCTATATTTTTTTGTACACTGAGGTGGGATTTTCAGAAGAACTCTGCGTTGGTCTAACTCTGCTCCTGTTGAAGTCAATGGTGAAAACATCAGTGGAAGCAGAGTTAAACCAATGCTGAAAGCTTTTGAAAATCCCATGCTGATGTTGGTATATAAACCATTTTAGCTTCATGGATGAGTAGGAAATTTTATTTGGATTTCTAATTCTTCATTTTGAAGATAGTTGTCCCACAACCTACCTATATCAATAATAAAGAGCGAATCAATGCTTCACTGGGCTAGACCCCAAATGCAGACTCCAATAATCCAATAAACCAGTGGGTTATTAGGTAACTGTAATATCTCTTTCAGAGGAGTGGACACTGTTTTTATTGGTTGCAGTGTACTACTTTTGTGTGTTCACTGGGGAAAGTAACTAGATAATGGTTCTAGAGAACGCTCTAAAAAATCAGAATAAGGTTCTCTTTGAAGAGAAGAAATATACAATGGTCCCTCTTGCTTATTTCCTTTTGAGCTGAAAACTGTATCTCTGAGTGTTGACTGTCTGGTTGTAATATTTAGACAGTTAAAATGAGATCACACTGTCAAACATGTAGTGCTTCTGTGTACACAACAGAGCAAACATTGGGAACAAACGCTTACACTTGAGCTTCTTGACCGTATAAAGAAAAATCCATCTCCCCCCCCACCTGACTTGAAATAAATATACATTATTGAGGCCTTCCACAGCAGTGGTTACTCAAAATGTTTGAGTGATTTAGATACATTAATATTAGCATCTCTTACACGCCTGTGGCATTTTCCAGTGATGATGACCTGGGCCAAAATATGTTGATTTTTTTTAAAGACTTTTCAAAATTGATTTTTGCACCCGTATTTGAACCTATAAGTAATGATTATTTACTTCAAATAAACAGATAACTTGTAATTGGTTTACCAGGCATTTAAATGTATGCGCATGCTCTGGTAACTGGCTTTGTCTAAGTATTGTGACAGGGTTAGGCCAGATGGCTACAGGAGAGTAATAGAAGGCAGATATATTAGCCCCAGGTTAAGTAGGTCCCCTTTCCCTGGGTAAGGTAACAGGGAAGGTTCCAGAACAATCAGGAACCTTCTGGAGACCATTAAGACAGGCTGATTAGAACACCTGCAGCCAATCAAGAAGCTGCTAGAATCAATTAAGGCAGTACACCAGGCAACTGGGTTTAAAAAGGAGCTTACTTCAATTTGTGGTGCTGTGTGTGAGGAGCTGGGAGCAAGGGGCACTAGGAGCTGAGAGGAACGGATTGTTGGGAGACTGAGGCGTACAAGCATTATCAGACACCAGGAGGAAGGTCCTACAGGAGGGATAAAGAAGGTTTTGGGAGGAGGCCATGGGGGAAGTAGCCCAGGGAGTTAGAAGGTCAGCACAGCTGTTCCAGAGGCACTCGACAGCGTATTCCACAGGGCCCTGGGCTGGAACCCAGAGTAGAGGGCGGGCCCGGGTTCCCCCAACCTCCCAACTCCTGGTCAGACACAGGAGGAGTCAAACTTGGATTGTGGGTTCAGAAAAACGTCCAAACTGAGGGCTGCCATGAAGCCCTGGGCATATAATCCATCAATAAGCTAGATCCACCAAGGTAGAGGAGGAACTTTGTCACGGTATTTATGTTGCTCCCATCACTGAGGTATTGGAATACCAAATATGTAGTTACGTTACACCTGTTGTGCTATCTTCTTTTCATGCTTTTTACTGGGATCCTTTCTGTGGTGCTGTGCAGGTTGATGTAAAAGTGGAATCAAGGGACACTTACCTTTAACGTGTTCCATGTTTCCATGTATTGCAAAGTGCATTTGAATTGGTCCTTGGCATAACAGTAGAGCTACCTTAACGTGGTTGTGAAAAGGCTTAATTTAACAGTTAGCCTTTTAAACTATGTTAACTTAAATTTCTTTTCAAAAGCAATAGTGTGGATGCAACTTGAATCTCTACTATATCCAGAAAGGTAAGCAAGCTGCAGCAGGTATTTCAAGAACAATTGAATATAAGTGACTGCAGGGGAGAGAAAGGGTACTGCTAGCTTCCTTTTGGGAATTCTATACTCAGTCAACCTTTACGCTACCAGCTTGTGCTCATCTGTGGTCTTACCAGCTCCTTACTGCGATGGAGCAAACCAACTAACAGGAACTGTTAAACCTTTTTCTCCCAATTGCTAATTCTCTTATAATCTTGAAAATAGAAAAATTCCACATCCCAATTTTGTCTTTTCTGACATCTCTATGCCAGCATTTGAGGTTGGGCACTGTAATTTACTTTTTGGCTTTGCATGTATTCTCATTAATTAAGGGCACTTTTGAAAGCATTGTGATTTGACAGTCTGTTCAGTGAAGGACTGCTGCTGCTTTAGAGCCATTCACTGGTATAGGCACTATACAGTCCAGTGCACTTGATCAGTGTCCCCAAAGTGGATCCTTCACTTGAAAGTTATTTGAAAAGAGCATGTAAATTTACTTTACTGTTACTTAATTTTATTTTTCTGATTGAGTCAGTTTCCATGGTGGAGCCCCCACAGAACACACATGCCTACTCTGGAGATAATGCAGCTTCTAATTAAACACTATCTTGAAGCCTTACCAAAAGTAGCAAAATCTTTCCTTAGTGTATGGTGAACATTTATTTAAAAAAAGCAAATGCATTGGAGTGATTGGAACTTAAAGGGATTGAATTAGTGCAGACACAGAAGCCTGCCTGGAAAAACACAAGATGTTAGAATAAATTTATATCCAAATTTTTAGGCTTTAAAGAGAGAGAAAATTTTCTGATGTGAGCCTTTAACCTTTTTAGGTATCTTGTAGCTTTTGTAATCACTGTGGGAGGATGTAGGGCACAAACTGCACTGTGAAATGTATGTATTTTTAAAAGATTCATCTATTTATATGAAAGAGTAGCATCTAATTTCATATTAACCAAGATAAAAAAATTGCAAGGTCTATCACTCATGTTTCAGAGCATGCACTGATCCCTCTTGGGTTCAGGTTAGTCCTTTCTTTATGATGTGTAGTATTGTGCCTATGACGTACCTTTACCATCAAATTTGGAGACAGGATACTGAGCAGATCAGTGATTATCAGTCTGTTGTGCCAAAGCAGCCCTGATATGTTTCTACTTTGACTATGCCAAATGGAGTCAGCAATACGTAACTGAACGAAGTACACTGGAAGTTACGTATTGCTTAGCCCAAGAAGCAGACCTTCATTCCGCAGATCTCTGCACTGTGCACATCAGGAAGTGCAATGCTGCTGCATTCCCACAGCAAGAGTGAGCAGAAGCTATTCATCAGTGGAAATGAGGTTAAGCATTGCTTGTGCAAATGTGACTAGAAGCAAACTTCAAGCCCTTGTATGCTCTCTCCATTACACTCACAAAGGCAAAGTAAAAAAATGAAACAGAGGTAGGTGAAGAATGGTCTTAGCTGAATCCTCTTGGCTGTATTCCGGTGACAAGAGAGGAATAACTTTTGTAGCTGCACAATAATGCTCTTAAGTGTATTCTTGCAATCCCCTCTATTCCCTTGTCATCATCATTTTATACATTGTGCTACACTCAATATTTGTCCTGTGCAAGATCAAGATTGAATAAAAAAATGTTTGAACAGTATGTCTCACAGAGTGAGAATTCTTTCTTCTGTTACTGCATAGCCCCAAGTAAAAACCAAGTCTCAATGTCTCACTTGAGACTTACTGCTAAGTGTCCTCTTACACCTTTATATTTACTTCTTATCTATATGTGTGGGCACCGTGCATTTCCCCATGCCTCTGGAGGCTGCTAGACTGGCAACACTCCTCATGGGAAAGGACCCTTTCATCCATGCCCTTTGCCTGAGAATCCCCCAGCAAGGAATTCTTCAGACATACCTCATCCATCCTTTTTCTTAGAGGTTGAAAGATGTTACTTACCTTACAGCAACTGTGGTTCTTGGAGATGTTGTACTCAGTGTGGACTCCACTGAGCCTCATGTGGATGCACATGAGCCTCATCATGTGAGACTGGCTGGGTTTTTGCATAGTGGTGTCCATTGGGTAAAAGGCACTGCAGAGCTTCTGTCCATGGGTGTCTGGCAAGCAGCTCCTCAGGGATGGTGGGAGTTGGGAGCATCATTTGAATGAGCCAAACAATAGTTCAAACACCAAGTGACTTTGAGATAACTGAATGACAGTCTCACCTGTTTCAGTGGAGCAACGTACACCAGAATTTTTGGTACGTTCCCTAACTGGATTCAAACCATTTGGAACTGCTCATATGAAAGATCTTT